CGCCTCCCCGGGGCGGAGCGCGCGCGGGGCCGCGGCCCGGATCCCACGACACCGGCCCTACCTTTCTCTGCGCCGTTGGGCTGCGTGGGGGAGGCCACGGGGTTCCGCGAGCGCGCGAAGGCGCTCATGAGCGGCAGCGCTCCGGGCCGGTGGTTCCGGGGCCTGCGGGAGGGAGGCGGTGGCGAGTCAGGGCTGTCCCCGGCCCGGGCGCCCAGGAGGAGCTCCAGCGTGCTCGGAGGACACTCACCAGTCCTCTGGGTCGCAGTCCCGGAAGCCTTTGGCGAAGGGGTTGCTGGCGATCTTGAGCTGCGTGATCTGCAGGGATGTAGGCACGAGCAAGTTGCTCTAGGCCCCGCCAACCTGCAGTCCCGGGTTCCCCCACCTCCCTCCATCTCTGCTGGGCAGGGTGCCATGCCCAGGAGAGGCCCCTCAGCGCCTCACTGACTCCAACGGGCCCACATCTGCCCCCTCCCCACAGAAGGTTGTGCCTCCGGCTCCAGGCAGGGGCTCCTCCTTGCCGTCCAGGCAGATGGGAATGTGGTTGCCCTGGACCCCACTGAGCAGTTCAGGAGAACGGAGTGGGCACCCTGGAATCTGGGCAAACCCCAGATCAGGCTCCTGATGGAGAGTTTCCGGAATGGTTTGGAAAACAAACTTTCAGGCAGCAGTGACATTTGCTGTTCGAGAGGTCAAACTGATAGGAGGCTAGGCCGGCAGGGGGCTGGGGGAGAGAGGATGGCTTAAAGATCTGAGGCCCTTGGGGGTGGGGCTTCTCCAGCCTGTGCTCCTCGGGGAATCACATTAGGGTCCAAGCTGCCTGACCCGCAAGCAGCGATTGTAAACTGCGCCCCCTTCCCAGAATATTGGATTTACAGGAGCTTTCCCGACTGGAGCCTGGGATGGCGGAGGCCTGCCCAGGGCCTCCCCGTAGGCCGTTACCCGGTGGTTCTGGTAGGCGGTGACGGCTGTGAAGCGAGTCTCCTCAAACACGAAGGTTTTGAAATTCTCCTCCGCGTACTTCTCGCTGTCCTTGCGTGGATCCACGTACACAACGTGGAAGCGAGGCTGGTATCTATGCATGGAGTTGAGAATAATCTGGAAGACAAGGTGGGGAGCTCAGCTCCAGCGGAGGGTCGGCTCAAGGATTGGAGGTCAGCGCCGCAAAGTGGGCTGAATAGGCAGTGAACTTCCCAGAGGCCCTGCGAGAATCGCTTCAGGACCGCAGGGGGTGGCCAGCTTCTGAGTGGAGTTCAGCACAGCAGGAAAGTGGAGCTCAGCACGGCTGAGGGCGATGGCTGAGGGCGTAAGGCGACCTCACTCGCCTAGGTCCCACAAAGCCTCCTGCCCCCCTCCCCTCATTCACAGCGCTATTCTTTCCAGTTAAAAAACCTCCAGTAAACCATTAGGAGTGAGGGGGAGGGAGGGAGGGTTACTCCCTCTCCCTGGCCCCAGGCCCACCAGCCTGGCGAACCCCTGACCCTGAGGGGCTGCTACCTCCAGCCTGGTTCCTCGTCTGTAGACCTGGGCAAAGCTCCCCACCCCGAACTGGGGCTGGATCCTGTGGCTTGGGGAGCCTGGCGGGGGGTGGGGGAGTGTGGCTCACGTGGCCGTTGTCATCCAGCAGGTTGTTGGTCAGCTTGAGCTTGTCGAAGGACACAATTTGCTTCATCCACTGTGCGCCCTTGGCAGGCGAGTCAGGGTGGTAATGCACACGGCCCGGCGTGGCAGGATCCGCCTTTCCGGCCACCAGCCACGAGGAGCTGTGGAAGGCATACCTGGGGACGGCACCGAGTTAGGGTTAGCGTTGTTGAGATGAAGTGAGAGGGCCTTGCCCTGTGCCGCTGGGTAAACCCCGAAAGTGCCTCTGAGGAGTTTCCCCATCCATGAAACTGCGCTTTCCTGAGTCCTGGCTGCCTCACCAGCTGGGGGCGTTTCCATATGGATTGTGGAGTAAGTGGGGAAACTCCCGTGCCCCAAATACACAAAACAAGCAGCGAGCTGGGCTCCCAACTGTGCCGAATTTCGTCGCACCCGGGTCGGCCAGTGAGCCTCGCTGCTGGCCTCCAGGAGTGGCGCGGGCAGGAGCTCGGATTCAACCGCGCAGGCGGCCTGAGGCGCAGGGCGGTCCACATTCTCTTTATTAATTGCTGTTAATTGTCCAGGCGGTGGAGGCCTGCCCTGCATAATCTCTCCAGGCCACCCCACCTTTCCTGCCCGGCTCCAGGGCCCAGCGCCCCTGGGGGGAAGGGGGAGGGTACGAGGTGCCCACACCCGTCATGTGGGAGAGGGAGACTCGAAGAAAGACAGGGCCTTGTGTGCACGGAGCCTGCTGCCTCAGGCGACCCGGAGAAGGATGTGAAAGCAAACGCTTTCTCAGGCCTGTAGCTCTCAGGGGTCCCAGCTTGTCTGACCCCCTGAGGGGCTCCCAAGAATGGCGGGGAGTGGGATGTGTAGGTCTGGGGTCCGACTAGGGCCGGGGGAGAAAACGAGTCTCTCGGGTTGGGGCAGCCGGCCCAGGTACCTGGGACAGCCGGTCGCTAATGAGCTTCATGGTGTGGGTGGCCCATGGAGTGTGGTCACTAGGCAAGAACCTCGCCCTTCCCAGAATACCCTACTAGGTCCTTCCCTACCCCCCTACAGGGCTGGCCCAGTGGCCCTGCATGGTGTCCCATCTGCTCACCGGTAGCGCTTGTCGTCCACCGGCACGAAGTCCATGAGCAGCATATAGTCGGCCATGGGGTCCATGCCGAAGAGCTTCACTTGGAACGTAGGGAACATGCGCCTGGGGGCAGCCGGGGGCTCAGTCATCTCAGGCAGCGGAAGGGCACCACCCCCAACTACACCCTGGTTGGCCGAAAGCAGGCGGCAGCACAAAGGGCAGCCAGACTGGGCTGGGGGTGACTGGCCGTCACTCTGCTTAGCAAGGGCCCAGCCTAAAAGTGCCGCCCCGCCTTTGGCCTCCCTTAGCGGGGCCAGCGCCTCCACCTCGTCTCCCCTCTATCAGCTGCTATAACCCGAGCAGGTCCCTGCTCAACTACAGGGCAAGTGGATCGGCCGGGCAGCCTCCTGCCCCCTTTTGTGAAAACACCGTAATAGGGTCAAGCCTCTGCCCCCAACCTCGGACTATGGCTTCTTCCACCGCCTTTGCCTGTGTAGAACAGGCCTTGCCTTTGCCTGCTCCCCCAAACCTGGACCTGGCCTCCGCTGGCGGCACCAGCACAGTGGGACTCTCAGGACTCAGTCTGGGAGCTTCTTGGCCTTTGTGGAGCCTTGCTCTGCTCCGTCTAAGCCGCTCCCGGCTCCAACAAAGTGAAACTGAGATGATCGAGTAATTCCGAGGAAGACTCAGTTGCTTTTTCAGCGGGATCTTGGCTGTTCCCCTACCTCTCCAGCGAGGCTGAGGCCTTGGAGTCTTCAGCCCCCGACCGCTTCCTTTCAACCCCATTCCGGACTCTCAGGCCCTGCCTCTGCCCCGCGCTGAAGTCTCCCACCTTCGGCAGGGACACGGACAAGCTCCCGCTCTCCTCACTGGGCCCCTAGATACAGCTGCCTGGGGTGGACTCAGCTTTTGCCCTTACAGGCCCCTGGACCCCAACTTGGTGACTGGTGACCCCACAGGGCTCTTGAAAGAACACCCTGAAGCTCCTGGCTGGCCTCTGGCCTTGGGCTGGACTTCGCCAGATAGCGAAGCAAGGTCGGTCCCGGGCCTGTGGCTCAGCCCCCACTGTCCTCCCTACTGCCTCTGCTCACAGGTAACTCCCTGAAGGCAGTGGTCAGACAACAGATGCCAAGGAGCCAGCCCCGGGACAGGCCTCCTGCCACTCCTGCCGGAACCTCTGCAGGCCTGAGGGTGCTGCTGAGTGCTGGCTACTGCGGCAAAGACCGAGGCTGGGCCGCTGTCCTCCGAGGGAAGCAGCCTCGAGCCTTCTCTACGGCCAGGAGGGCCCCGTGTGCCCAGGACAGCAAGGAGAGCCTGGAAAAGACCCACAGAGCTGAGCTGAGCATAGGCTCAGGCTCCCCTGAGAGGATGGTGGAGGCAGAGAAACAGAAACCACGAGAAGCTTTGCAAACACGCCCTGAGCTCCTCTTGGCTGCGCAGCAGAGCTGGTGTCTCCGTGTGTACATTAGACACAGCCCAGCACCGCCTTTGTCTGCTGGTCAAATCGGTTTCATCGCAAAACTTGTTCCCCTTCTCTCTCAGCCCTTAAAACAAACACAGGACAATTCCAGGGCAGCGGGCCCCACACGGCCTTACAGGAGCCCTCCTGGCAGAGCCAGGCCCACGGTCTCTGGAAATTTAGGCGGAGAAAACCGGGCAGCAACCTCCACTGAACCGGGAGCACTCTTTTCAAGGGTCTTAATTCTATTTTAAAATTATCTGAACAATTGCCCTGCTGCCCTTCTTTCTTTTGCCCGCATAGACTGAACTCGGGAACCCAAGCCAGGGAAATTCCTTTGAGATGGGATCCACTCGGAGCCGGCTTGGCGGGGAGGCTCGGCGGGCGCGGCTTCCTTCCCCTGCGGGAGTTCTCGGAGCCGGCCCCTGCTTCCCCGCAGCAGCGCAGCTTCCTAGAGCAGCGGGTAGGCTCGTCGATCCTGCGGGGATTCTCTGGGGCGGCCTCCTCGGCCGCCATGCCCGCCCGCACTGTTCCCTCCGACCCTGCGCACCAGGCGGCTGTCGCCTGAGCCGGGACCGCAGAGAGCAAAGGAGCCGACCGGCGGAGAGGGGCCCGCAGGTGCTGGGACGCGCCCCTGGGTCCGACCGAGGCGCGCGGAGCGGCGCCACGTGGGGTGGGTCGCGGGTGGGGGGCGCCCTGACCTGCCGGCCTTGGTGACGATCATCTCCGTGCCCAGCTGGTTAAACTCGTCCCACAGTGCCTTCATCTCCAGCTGCACGCTCACGCTGGCCACCTTCGCGTTCTTCTTTACCGGCGCCTTGGCAGCGGCCGCGCAGCTAGCTCCGGGGCCCTCGGGCTCGGCGGCGGCGCTGGTGGCGGCCCCGGCAGCAGGCGCGAACGGGTAGGCGT